ATATAATATCCACACGTTTTGAGAGATATGGCAATGGAGTCGAAACACCGGAAAAGTTGGAAAGCATTAAAGAAAAGTGCAATGAATTGGGCGATACTAAAGGCACGGGTAGACTGTGAGTAGTATTGTAACAAAATGTCATTTATAAATTTAACTAAAAATATATTATTTTGTGATGATAAATGTTAGTTATGAATTTATCATTATAATTTCATGTACACATATTATCATTAAAGTATTACCATATTGGTGGCCTTATTAATAATTCATATTAATTAACAATATCTAATTTATTTTAATATTTGAAAATATATTTACGTACCAATTATAGACAATACAATAAAGAGCTTCATCATTAATAACTGAATTATTATAGATATATATAAAACTAATTAATATTAAAACTCTTGTTAAACTTTAAAACACATACTCGACACTCATTTTATATGTACTTTAGTTTAATGCCAGTTATATAATCTGAATTATTAAATTTTAGTTTAATTAATAATATACGTCAATTATATATTTTAATTTTAGTTTAATTAATAATATACGTCAATTATATATTTTAATTAAAGTTTAATAAAAAAAACTCATTTATTTTCAGATTCTTGATCAGTCATATTGACCATATCATTTAAATTTAGATTTAATAGCTTTAATAAATATGTTATACAATATTATTCAAAACTTTTATTTTATATTTCAACTAAAAAGTTGCTAATTATAGCAAATACATATGGTAATTTTTCCAGGTACACATAAGTAGAAATTAATAAATATAATTTTAATTAGTTTTCCAGTTTTAATCCTTTTTAGTATTCAAATGAATTAATTGTTGTTTCGTTTGTTGGCCTAAAGTATTGATCGATAATATAATCTCAAACAATAGGAATACAAACATAATTATATCGATTATGATTTCAAATGGTGTCACAAATACACCAAATAATGTAGAAAATTGTCGAAACAAATGAATTGGAAATTGTATTAAAACAGTCAATAAGACAAACGCCAGGAGTGGTTGAATCCGTTTAAACAGATTACCCGTATATCCCAGGTATAGGCGCGGGATTTCTATAGCCATAAGTATGGCCAGAGATGTGACGGACAGGAATCGGTGAATATCGGACAATACGTGTAGTTTTAGCCGAAGTGAACAGATTTGTGACACAATCCATACGGGAGTGAAATAGCAGTTAAAATATATACACATTTGTAGCCATAGGCTGACCACGAATTCACCGCTTTTTAAACCCAACTCTCGGGTCAGGTCTTTAAACTCGGCGTCCATTTCAACGCTACTTTCCATCTGATCCATCAATTCTTGTGGTACTTGTGGTTAAAGTTTTAAACAATTAATATTTGACCACAAAATCAAAAAACATTTTACATAGAGTGGTATACAATGAGTGAAATGATATTTTTATGTTTTGTGAATGAATTGTATTGTTTTATATGCGATATTCTGTTGTCAACGAAACCATAGCCTCAGGAATATTGTATTGAATACACAGTGTTTTGCATTCATATGTTGTATGCATTCAATACAATA